TTCACATATAAATGGGAACTGAAATAACAATAAAGGGATATTCAGATGCAAGCTATCTCTCGGATCCAGATGATGCGAAGTCTACATCTAGGTATGTGTTTATGCTTGGAGGGGGTACAATTTCTTGAAATTCAAAGAAACAAGACATTGTGGCTTTGTCCACCATGGAATCCGAGTATGTGGCATACTGTCTAGCAGCCAAGGAGGCCGTGTGGATTAAGAAGGTTTTTAATCAACTTTTCATCCTATACGTTGTGAGGCAGTGTGAATTTTCTGCGACAACACGGCGAATATTTATGTATCGGTTTCACAAAAATTCTAAGCATATCAAACCATACTTCTATCACTTAACAAACGAAGAGAGATTGAAAGAGATCGAAATCAGCTATATATCTATAGATTTGATTATTGCAGACCCTTTGACTAAGAGAGTTGTCCCTAATGTTTTTAAAAAACATGTGAGAGAGATGTGGATAAGAAAAAGTGAGGAAGAGATAATGTAAGGCTTTCAAAAAGAAAAGTGAGAGATGTTGGGTTTATATAGCCTTTAAAGGCCTTGTAAATGTGTAATGAAAAATATTTGTTCTAGTGGAACATAAACTTAATGGGAGTGTAGTCCCTCGAGGACCACTAAGCAAACGTTGTTTGCTGATACCAAATTGTGTTGGGCGTAAAGAACAAACCGATAAGGGTTTTGGGTTAGCTCTTGATGAGGTCGGAGCTTATGCCTGGATGAGTGAGCGGAGGGACTGTGCGACCCATGTGTGTGATGGTAGGCCTACAGAAATGAAAACTAAATTCTTATACATGTTCCATTACAAGACATGCATATCGATAGATCATTTAAGAAAGTCAGTTATCCACCTTTGGGTGAAGCGTATGCATGTGCAAGAGATACCCCTCTGCATCATAGAGCTGTGGGCGCATCAGGTCGTGGCGACCTTGACTTGTCTCTAGGGGAGGACCTGTAATCCACAAATTGGGATTACGACCCCTTGGCTCATCGGCCAGACTTTGGTGACTTGTTAATGAGCCCCTGCTTAGACTGTGGGTCATGGAAAACATTGGGTCGGTTTGATAAAGCAAGTGTGGTCTATAGTCCATAGCTGAAGATGAAGTACCCCGTGATTGTTGATAGAATTCTTGAACCATATGGATCCACTTCCCATCATATTATTTTAATTGTGTTCATTTTATTATAGAAATTATTTTAGATTTGTTATTGGAATTTTTATAAGTCATTTGATTCTTTATTTATTATTTTTAAACTTATAAAAATGAAGTTATTAATTTACAAAGTTATAATATTTTAAAATTCATTTTGTTTAATTTTAAAATATTTATAAAAATTACATGGGGGCCCATAGTGCACATGGGTCCACCATATGGGTATTAGGTCGGGCCCCATAAGCCTTCCCCATCCTTGGATACCTTCTTTTGTTGCTTTGGGTTCAAGTTAATTAAATATGTGTAACAATCCTAAAATT